AACAAGCATCTTCCCTGTGCTCAGAGGAAGCACTCGATGCACCTCCCCATCCTCTGCCAGGCAGCTGCCAGCAGCTCTCTTGCACACCGCAGCCCAACGGCTCCCCCGAGAGCGAGCGCAGGCAGGCGGCGGATGAGGAGCACTGCAGAGCGGTGCGGCCGGACAAAACAGCCTTGAAGCGCTCAACATCCAAAGCTGCATCCACAGGAGAGCTCACCAGCCTGCAGCAGAACGGGCTGGGGAGTGCCCCCAGCACTGTGCACTGGCCCCAGGGCCTGGGTGTGCTGCCTGCGCACAGGCTGGCGGGCGGCAGCGTGCCCATTTTAGCCGGCAGCGAGTCGGAGGCAGCAGGACTGGGTGAGGGCTGCCCCATCCAGAGGGCACCGTCCCCCGTGGTGGAGGGGAACAGCCCCTACACTGTCATCAAAACCACCACTCCCCTCCACGTGGCCCACGCGACAGAGCAGGACTTCTTGAACAGAAAGCAGGTGGCATTGCCTCTGTCAGAGACTGGACATCCCCATCCCGCCACCTCCATGGCACCACCTGTTTTGCTGGACCAGGAAGAGGCAGATGTCCAGGAAAGTCTCCAGAAACCATTAAATGCACTGAAAGCCCCACGACCCCCCCTGAGCCCCAAACCAAAATTACTGCCACAGGTTGCCAAATCCCACTCAGAGAACAGTTTCCTTTCAGGCTCTCCTCCCCCAGCCAAGCTGCCCAAATCGGTGACGTTTTAGTGGGGATGGGGGAGGTGAGGGGGAGGGAGTGGGTTCTGGAGAAGCACCCTGGCCCCATTGCAGGCCTCCCTCCCTCCAGCAGGGCTGTGTTGGGGTGGCAGCACAGCAGCCAGCGTGTGTCGAGCTGTGCTTTGGTACGAGTGCCCAGCGAGGAGATGAAGCAGTGGCCACCAGCACCAGGAGACACCAGCAATTTGGGTTTACATCTTTCCTATGGACAAATTGGAAAGTGCTTTCATTTTTTTGTTCTGCAGTGCTCCTCAAGCCTCATCACTTGGGGAGAGAGGCCAGGGCTGGTGAACGTGTTGCGTTTTCTCTTATGCTCCTGCGTGCCATGGGTACCCATGGCCAAGGGAGCAGGCACAAGGCATAGGAGTCTGAAATGCTTTCTTTCAAATGCCTCGTTGGCACAGCTGCAGCATTGCTTTCAAAGGCCTTTGTAGCAATAGATCTTTGTTTCCTTTCCCAGGCCCATGGCTGTAGGCAGCAGGATTTGCAGGCAGGGCCGTGGTGCCCCGACAGGGCAGGGCAGCCTGCCCTAACCCTCTATGCAATTCCACAGAGCAGTGCCCAGCTGTGCCCAGCTCCTGCTGCAGTGGTAGGTGCTGTCCTGGAGGAGAGGTTTGACAGCTGGTGAGTCCCTGGGAGGTCTCCTTGGTGTCACCCCAGTGGAGGACTGCCAGCAGGGTGGTTCTTTCCTGAGTTCTCATGGTGACAAGGACAGTGATGAAGGTCCTTGGGCTGAGTGGCCTTTCTGCTGCCCTGTCCCTCGTGGGCGCAGTGTGGCGAGCAGGCTCGCTGCTGTTCTGCTGCCCACACAGGAAGAGTGACTGCTGGCTCGGGAAACCTGCCTGCTCTAGGAAGCTGCTGAAGGTGCAGTGGTGTCTCATCGCAGTGCCCAAGCTCAAGTCCTCTTTTACCCTAGGTAAGTCAGGTGTCAGGGTGGAAATGGCATAGGAGTTGGGGAAAGGGAGCACATTGCCCAGAATCTGATTGCAATCCTTCCAGTTTAGCCCACACTGAAATGAGTAAACAAGAAAGGAAACCTGGGCATGATGGGTGCCCACTTGCCCATCATGCACCAAGTCCCAGTGGCCTGTCCATCTCCTCTCCATCACAGGGTTTTGCTGCTGCACTATTGGCTGCAGGTGTGCAGGGACCTGGGGACACTCACCCCACTGAAAGAGCTGGTCCAAACTCCTGTGCCAGCATCTACTTCACCCCTAGAGGTGAAGAGGCTTCATCGGGAAGGCAGATCAGTGGAAGAAGGATGTGCTGTATTTGCCTCTGCTGGCTGGAACAGGTGGCTGCAGGTGCCGCCTTAGGTGGGAGTCCCATCCCTTCAATGGAGAGACCCTGGGCAAAAGCTCCTTTAAGTTCTAAGGAAACTTTGAAAACTGGTTTTTAATCTCACAGGCTGTTTCAGTAGCATAACCTGATCTGAAGCCTACCTGAAAGCTCAGCAGAAAACTTCCACTAAATTACTTTGTGGGGTTTATTTTGCCTTGTGTAAATGTGGTGATTTATGTTTGCAGCAGGGAGCATGTCAAAGGGAGCACCTGATCTTTGGATGTAGCCAGGCAGCCCACAGCACCCTCAGCTTCTGTCGCAGCCCCTGCTCTGTCCAGGCCCCCATCCTCTGCTG